TTCGCCTGTCTCTGCTGCCACCGTCGTTGAGACACCTGCCCTGCTGCCAACACTGCCACTCATGGCCGTACTCCACCAATTACTTAGTGTTGCTGATGCTTCAGTGATCAAACTACACGAGCCTCAGCTGAAACTACACGAGCCTCAACTGACGTTGCCAGTGCTTCTCCAGTTACTTCTCACAGCTCAGCAATATAAAACAACAGCCCCAGTATCTCCTACAGCCTCAACTAGCAAGGCCTTTCGGAACAGGTTCTTGCATTAGATCAGGGGCACAGTTAGTAGGACCACGTATCGAACCAATAACTACACTGTAAGACCGGTATAGGACTTGCTACATATAATCTGGGCTCAACAACTCAGACCATATAAAGAATTGACTTCTCCTTCATGATGATTCTGCCGACAGTGCTGACACAAAGCATGGAATGACCAAGGAAGCCTTAGCTTGATGAAAGTGACCACATCTATTGAGTAGAGGTAGGGTTCTCTAGAATATATGATTTTACTTATCTCGGAGAATGTTTGATTCCTTCAGCATAGGCTCGCCCTATTAGTCTGATCAGATTGTATTGTTCATATCTAATCACACCCTCCGTGCCAAGATTTACTGGTACCTGCAAAATTTGTGCACATTACTGCTGCACTCAGATCCTGGTTTGAAGTTCTCCTCCTCTTGCCATTTCCCCAAACTGTCCCTTCTTGCCCATGCAAATCTGCAAGGACTTCAGTTTGTTTGGCACTGGCTTTTGCATGAACATACCAATGATGTATAGGTTGCATACTCAGCAATATTATGATTATATTGTCTCCACCTGACCATGCCATCCTCAGATATCTCTCTTTTCCGCTCATAACTTTAGACTATCAAATAACAATGGTTCATGACCACGCCATATTTGAAGGCAGGTAAATATGCAGCTAATCAATACAATATGATTCTTAAATTATTCCTAGTTTAATGTCTTGACATGTGCTATATTATTATATCTTCGCAGCTTGTGGTATAGAATACTAGCTTTTACTTTGTCTTTTTGTTGTTGTTTTTTTGTCATTTCTTCTCCTACCTTTAAACCAAATCCAAAAGTTCTGGATCAACCACTCTGAGATATTCGACGAGTGAATGAGAGAGAGAGAGAGAGAGAGAGAGAGAGAGAGAGAGAGAGAGAGAGAGAGAGAGAGAGAGAGAGAGAGAGAGAGAGAGAGAGAGAGAGAGAGGCGGGGGAGAGAGGGAGAGGAGAGAAAAGAGAGAGAGAGAGAGAGAGAGGCGGGGGAGAGAGGGAGGGAGAGAAAAGAGAGAGAGAGAGACGAGAGAGAGAGAGAGAGAGGGAGAGAGGGAGTGAGAGAGAGAGAGAGAGAGAGAGAGAGAGAGAGAGAGAGAGAGAGAGACGAAAGAAACGAGAGAGAGAGAGAAACGAGAGAAAGAGAGGGAGAGAGAGAGAGAGAGAGAGAGAGAGAGAGAGAGAGGGAGGGAGGAAGGAAGGGAAGGAAGGGAGGGAGAGGGGGGGGAGAGGGAGGGAGGGAGAGGGAGGGAGAGGGAGGGAGAGGGAGAGGGAGAGGGAGAGGGAGAGGGAGAGGGAGAGAGAGAGAGAGATAGGTGTAAGTAATAAGCAAGTGTGAATGAGCTAATGGACACGCGTACGCGGGCGTATGTATGGGGGAGTGAGTGAGTGAGGGAGAGAGAACGTGAGTGAACGACTGAGTGTGGGTGTGGGTGTCGATGTGAGAGTGAGTATGCATGGGTGTGTGAGCCTGAGAATGTACGTGTGCATGTGTGTATTAGTGTGTGTGTGTGGGTTTTACAAAATAAAAAAAGATTAACATTTACATTCCATATATTTATGACAATATAAGCAATATGAATCACTACATGAACACTGCATCTGTGACTAAATTAAAATAAACTTCATTTATCTAGATTCTCATAAATCATAGACATCCATTTTGTTACATATGGTAAAAAAATATTATAAGGCATGAGGTCATGTCCTTGAAAATATAAAAGCCATTTATTTCATTTACTATTTCTCTGTATAGAACAGTAATCTAACTTCTACTACTGAAAAAGGGTGCATTAAACTGATAACCTTTCCTGACAGGAATGAAATTACATAAGCATGAAAAGTCTTTTCCTTCTTTGCAGAAGCTAAAATGAACTAAAGAACACGTCTGACATGGATGATTTTGCAGTGAATATGGCTGGCTCGTTTCGCCTTCCTGTGAGAATACACATTTCTTGCTTGACAGAAAGAAGCCATTCGTTGGCATAAATAACAGAATTAGTAAATGGTCATACATTTTTTTATGTGAAAAGAGAGCAGTTGGTACTATTATTTCAAACAAAAACATAAGGCCAAATACGAATCAAAGGACAGAATCTCGTTACTGACACATTTTAAAGAAAGCAAAATCAAATCAATGGCAGCGGGCTGTATCAGCCGTGAATTCATGCATTCGTGCATAAATGTCTCGAGTATCATGGGCCAATGAATGTGATTGC